CTGCCAAGCTGGGGCTGCTAGAGCTCAGGGGAAGAGGAGGAAAGACCTACTGAGTTCATGAAGGCAGGAGAAGCCACGATGAGAGAAAGAAAGGATTGCTCCTACCATTTCAAGCCCTGGCCACTTCAAGGCTGGCCCTGATAAGCACAAGGGGCAAGAGCTGGCAAAAGCCACAGCTGTGCTCTTCCTATTAAGTTGCAGGGGAGAAGAGAGCCTTGGTGGCCCCCAGGCTAGTAAGACCACTAACAGGGTTCCCGTGGACCCACAAGTGAGGGGACACAGACAACTGAAAAAAGGAGCCACTCAGAGGCCAGTGAGTTATCACAAGGGACCAGAGCACAGCCCGTCCCATGGGAAGTGTTTGGAGCACAGGCAGTGGGGAAGATGAGCCCACCAGGGGAACACGGGGGCACAGCATGGACAGTCGATCTGCCCTCCAATCAGCACAGGATCACTTAGTGGAGACCGGACAGGAATATAGAACTTCGGGGGGTGCAGTTTGCTGGGAAGACTCAGGCCCAGACCAGAGTTTCCACACAACCTAGGTGTTCCGGACCTCACAATACCCAGAAGTGCTTACAAGGCCAACCATTAACACCTGAGTTGCACAAAAAGCCTTCCCCAGATAATTAGCAACAAAGCAGCAATTTAGCTCAACCACAAGGTTCAAGTGCTGGTTCCCACAGGAAGATCCCCCATTAAGCAAAGGACAATAAATTAGTTCCACCACAGAGTTTAAGTGGTGGAAATAGCGAATAATCCAACACAGAACTGAAAGAAAAAACAAAAAACCCACAGATCAGAGACCAGTAAAGTTCTAACACAACCAAAGAACATCTACAATATCTAGAAGTAATGGAAAACCCCCAGGTTCCCAACCAGGGTTGGGGGGAGGGCCAAGGGCCTCAGCCAAACCCTCCCAATGTCCACATCCAGCCCAGCAAAGACCACAGAGATGCCGCTGGAAGCACCCCGGGCTCCTGAGCCTGGGTGGTGGTGGGGGCCTAGGTCCTCAGTCAGGCCCCCCTAACATCCACATCCAGCCCAGCAATGTCCACCAGGCCACCATTTGAAGCACCCCATGTTCCCAAGCTGGGGCGGTGTGAGGCTGAGGGCCTCAGCCATGCCCCCCTAATGCCCACATCCAGCCCAGCAATGACCATAGAGCCACCAATGGAAGTGCCCTGAGCTCCCGAGCTGGGGTGGTGAGGGGCCAAGGGCCTCAGCCACACCCCCTGATGTCCACACACAGCCCAGTGATGACCACCAAGCTGCCACCAGAAGCACCCAGGGCTTGGAGGGTCTGACGGCCTCAGCCATGCCCACCCGAAGTCTGCATCCAGCCCAGCCACAACCAAGGCACTGCCAGAAGCTCCCTGGGATCTCCTGCTGGAATAAGGGGATGCCACAGGCCTCAACCACACCCTCCTCCCACCCTATTCTCCTCCCTTTCCCCTCTCCCTGCCCCCAACTGCTCCACAACAACATCTTTGAATGTAAAAAATAATAATAAATAAATAAATTTTAAAAAAACAAACTGAGGCCAGCAATTATGGGTCAAGGATTGTTTAGATGAGAAATCAAATAAACTCTCACTTCAGAAATGCAGATTGTTCAAAATACAGAATTATTCAAAACATGTTATTTTTGGTAGATGAAATAAGTTACAAAGTATTCAGCTTATCGATGTTGAAAGCACTGCCTTAGAATGCATAAAGATCAAGAATATACTTTTTGAAGAAGAAAAAGTATCCTGTCATAGTGAGAAAGTATTATCTACTGCAAATGCAATTTCATCTTAAAAAATGATTCAACAAATTTAAGTAGAAATGACAGTGCTTAAAACAAATACTGTGAGTCTCTTTATAGATGAAAATGTTTATTAAGCATGTATATATTAAAAACTAGATTTCACCTTGGTCTGTAGCAGATCAATTTCATACCAGGAAGTATACATTCTAGAAATGACCCAAGATGTAAGACCCAGTTGAGAAACCCATTTTACTGGGCTACCTGGTAATTCTGCAAACTTTAAACACCCTCTTTTGTCATCCACCCACACGTGAGGCCCTGGGAGCCTGAAACAAGTCCTAACAGTTAGGGAAGCAGGACAGTGCGGTGGTCAAAAACACAGACTCAGGAGCCAGACTGCCTGGTGTAATTCCCAGCTGTGCCACTCACTGGCTTTGTAACTTTACGCAAGACTTCTGTGCATCAGTGAACATACAGGAGCCTGGCCTTTTGCAAGCACTATGTGATGTTAATTATTTGCATCACTGGTGGTGGTGGCCCCGTAAAAAGCCATTTCTGCCACATGGATCTGATGCATCTCTCATGCTCTCTCCCCTCCACTATACATTCCTCTCTATCCCTTTCTCTGCTTCAGCATAACTTTTTTCCTTTCTTGGGCCATTTCAGGCTCGTTTACAAGTCACAAACACCAGAGGCCCGGGACAGGACCACCTGACCAAAAGGCTCCTGATACCTGAGAGAAGGAAGATTCTCACAAATCGTTCCTTTGAAACCTACCACCAGTGAAAATCCTCATGCCTCTGAAAGTGATTCCCTCCACTATTTCAAGGGCAGTGGAGATTTTTGCTATGAATTGTTTGTCCGAGTAACAGCTTGAAACAGACATCTCCAGGTGGGGACGGGCCTCCCCACCCCTGCCAGGCTGCACGATGTACAGTGATTATGCTCAGGATTCTTTCTTCAGGACCACTAGGTCATGGCGCCTCAGAGTTGGAAAGGATTTTACAAGTCATCTAGACCAAGGGTCACAAACCCAAATACCCAGAGTACCAGCCAGGTCACGAGTCACAAAGGGACTGGAGCCAGCTGGGGACTGTGTGTCCCAAGTGTAGGGAGTGCTACCACTAGGCTCCAGCTGCCATTGCAGGCCCGGGACTGCCAGAGCTTCTGAGTGCTAAGAGAAGCAGGAAATTCAGATACAATGTGTGGACCAAGCAAAACACATTGCAGGCATGATAGGGCCCAAGTGCTGCCAGGTTACACACCTTGATCCAGACAGAGCAGTGGCTCCCACCTACAAGCCTCGGACCCCTGGAGATCTACAGAACTGCTGCACAGTGACCACTGAATCCAGCGGGGGGAAGAGGGACAAGGGCTCCAAGCAGTCAGTACTCATAGACTGAATGAATACCATGCCGAGCTGATGTAAGAACGTCTCTTTTTTTCCTAACATAAATGGACATCGTAACATCAACAAAACCAATTTTATTTTGAAACATCACTAAATTGACAATTTTTCACTTCACATTTTCTCAAATGAGGAGATCCCCAAAGCACAACAACAATCACATGACGTACACAGATTTTTATTTACATTAGAGAGGAGACCTCATGCTTGAAATATTCTCAACCACCACCTAGACCGGTTCTGCCACTTGAATGCTGAGGCTGAAAGGTTACATGACTTGCCCATGGTCACGCAGCTCCTTGCAGATTCAGGAGAGGAAGCCAGGCTCCTTCTCCTCCACCAGGGAGGGTGGACTCTGCCTCAAAAGAGCTACTCAAGGAGTGACACAGCCTGGATGAAAACCCAAGATCAACATGATCAAAACAAAAATTTGGACCAGGTCTTTTTTCCCACCATTGCCTCTTCAAAGTTTCACCAGAACACAGAGGTAGAAGAAGCCTGGATCACCCCAGACTCCATCCCTACACCCAACCACCTCCTAAAATGCATCCCAGATGAGGGTCTTCCAGTCTCTGGTGGATAAGGAACTCATTGTCTTACAATGCTGGATAATAATGCAACTTGAGAACTAAGTTCTTCCTGCCCCCACATCGCTCTGATCTCCTGGGCTCGCCATTCCCAGTGCCTGTTTCCCTCTCCACCCTCTTCACAACCCGCTTCCTTCTCCCCACCCCAAACACTGCCTCTATGTGTCCCCTTCATAATCTCCTTCTCTTGTTTGCTCCACTTCCACAACTAGCTGGCTTCATTACGAATAAGGGGTATGCACTTTAGATTCTTGCTCTCAGTCTACAAGTATTCCTTAAGGATGACTGACTCAAGATGAGAGCACAGAGGTCAAACACTTGAGAAACAGAACTGAACACATGTGCCCACTAAGTCAAGTCTGAAGGGAGAGCAGGCATAGGGAAGTGGGGACTGTGTTCCGTTCAGGACACTGGCGGCAACAGGAGCCAAGAGTGCCAAACAGTCGTGTAAGCTGTTCACTGCAGAATTCCAGGACACCCTTCAAAAGACCAGGTTATGAGTAGCACCCTCTGGAGTTGTGCAGCCGTGTAAGCTGTGCACTGCAGAATTCCAGGACACCCTTCAAAAGACCAGGTTATGAGTAGCACCCTCTGGAGTTGTGCAACAGAGCAGCCCAGGGAGAGGCCAGTGGCCCGCTGTGCAGGCACATGGAAATGCAGTTCGGGCTGTTAGGAGATCAAGCCCATCTTTCAATCATTCCATCAACTAATAGTGACTGGACAACTGAGTTTCTGCTACTTGAGTGTGCTCCAAAACCAGATGGCAACTTACCAAAAATGAGGACTGCCCAGCCTTTCCAGAAATTCTGAATCCTTATCTCTAGGGAGGGGCTGAGGAATCTGTGTTGTCTTTTAACAACCAGCCTCTTGAGAAATCCTAGCAAAGTTTAGGCTTGGGAGAAGAGAGACACTTTAAGGGCCAAGATTGTTACGGAGGGGATAATGTTTATATTTTTATAAGGTTTATTCCTTCCATTTCAGCTTTATTTTATGAAGAATATTGTTTGTCAAGACTATTCATGATGGCACACACATATAACCCACAAAACAACTGTCAATAGAAACTCCAACTCTGGCTACTCTTTTTTACACGTTTTAAGAGCGTGCAGACAGGCAGGCCCCCTAGACTGAAATGAAATAGCTATCCTGACAGCTTGCTAAATTTACAACCACCATTTGCCAAATCATAGGAAATTCACATTCTAACTTGCAAAGGTCCCTCCTACCTACATATCAACATGGCAAACACATACCTTGTGTTCCTCTTTCATCACCTGTTCAATGAGTTCAGATTTCACAGGAGGCTTTGAATACTGGCCTGAGAGAAGGCCATGTCCTAACTTAGTCCTAGGCAGGAGGGAGAAACAAAAACAAAAAGGTCATTGTTGTTTTCCCACAGATATATTAAAATTAACTATGAATTTCAAGAACTGTAGCTGCTAGTAGTAGGTGGAGCATTTTATCTGGATTATTCACAAATAACTTATGTGATTCTGCTTGATACTGATTCCATTTTTAAACTTCCCTCAGTACTTTATGGATATCTTTATTAATTTCTTTCTTGTTACAAAAGTAACACATGCTCATACTAGAACACTTTTAAAACACAGAAAATAAAGAGGAGAGAATTGCTTTAATTCTGCAACCCAGAGATAACCACTATGAACACATTACTGGATGCTTTTTCTAAAACGATACAATCTGGCACTTACATCTGCGTGTTGAAATCTTGTGTTGGATCTAAGGGCGAGTAGTCAAATATTCTTGGAAGGTTTCCCACATACCTAGAAAATGAGAAGTGACGATTAAAACATGGGAACTGGAGAAGCATAGAACCAAGACGAGCCATCCCTAAGACCCTTGTTGCCTTTCTGTCAGAATTAAACCGTCCACCTGAAGAGATGTTCTTCCTGAATCCCCCCTCTGCAGCCATCCTCATGAGCCTTCCTGAAGTGCTGATGCTTCTGTCAGTGGGTCAGAATCACCTAAGGGGTTTCTTTAAAAAATACCTAACCTGTTCCAATTTCATTGTTGGAGATCGAGGCCTGGGATTTGGAATTCTTTTAAAACTTCCCCAAGTGATTCTAATATGTAGCCAGAGTCAAGAACCACTGGTTTATGCCACCACAATTGCCACCTCAAAAACAAATGGTAAGGTTAGTGACAAGACTCCATACTTTGACCAAAACTTCAGTCAGGCTCCTCTGAGCTCTCTAATTGACAAGGCCTGGACTGTCAATGGCCTCTCTGTCCTGGTAGAATCCAGTTTGAGTAAAAATCTTGCTAAGCCAGTTTAGTGAAAATCCCCTACCTGTGGTATCTGACCACCCTGACTTGCCTTCAGCAATAATCCTATCAGAACCCCTAACCCTTGACGTTTCCTCTCAGGAATTTTCCATCCACTGACCCCACCCTGCTCCTTGCTTATGAAGCCCTACTGGTCCTTGTTGGAGTAGGAGATGAACCTGTTCTCTCTCCCCCACTGCAAGACCCTGTTTGCAGTATTCCCTCTACCAATCGCCATGCTCCCTTTGGATAAAGTCTGCCTCACTATCTCTAATAAGTGCTTGGATCATTTTTTCCTTTAACACTAGGAATTGTTCCAATAATCTCAAAATAATGATGGCACTAGCAGCGACAACTTCCGTTTCTCGAGGGCTTCCTATATTAGCTAGTTGAGTCTTCATAACAACCACATGAGGAAGGGATTGTTATTAATGTTATCCCCATTTGAGAGAGGAGACATTGGGATGCAAATTTGTTAGAGCGTTTTCACACTCATCCAGAGAGTGAAGATGAAGCCCAGAGTGGACCCACGCAGCCCGGTTCCAAAGCCGTGCTCTGAGCCACTCTGCTGGCCCTACCTGCCATCTGCTGTCCCTTGCTTGAGCCGTCCTCAGTGCCTCCTCCTGACCAGTGTATCTTGACAGAGCAGCGCTAACTTCCACACTGATCTCTAATCTTAACACACATTGTTCCTTTCGCTTCTTAAGTTCACCTCCTATTTCACGTCCCTACTTTAAGTGCTTCTTTCCCCCTTCAATCTTCCACTCTGAGCTTGGAAGCTCTAGGAAGAATAATCCAGAAGCAGATCCCTCTCTCTGGTCCTTCATGCACCCTCTTCTCTGACCTCATCTATCTGCCACCACTCTCCCCCAACCCGCAGCACCCTGGCCACTTGCCCCTACTGTTGCCCAGCTCATGCCAAGCTCCCTCCTGCTTCAAGGTCTTGCCATCTGCTCTCTCTTTCCTGGGATGCTCCCTCCACAGATCCTTGCTGTGCGGCTCCTTCACAGGTATGTTGAAAAGTAAACTCTCCAGACTCTTAGTCAAAACAAAAGCCACCACCCTCCACCCTCCACCTTTCACCTGCTCCTTGCTGACTTTCTCCTTAGCATGCATCACTATTTGCAATTACATAATTTATTTATTTTCATGTTTATTATCTGTCTCTCTAGAGATTACACACTAGAATGTAATCTCCATGAAGGCAGAGACTTCATTGATGTAAATCACTACATCTCCAGCACTAGAACAGCATCTGACATGTAAAAGGCACTCAATACATACTTGTGTAATGAATACATTCATATCATGTAATCACATAACCAATATCCATAACTGATTACCCATAACCAAACAAAAAAGGCATTATTGCCAGAAGACCTAGCAGAGAACCATGGCACACTAGTAGCTAGCAATGACCTCTACTGGAAACTTTAGGCACCTGCTGTCCATGAACTCAGAATTTGCATCCCAGATTGCGTACATACATCAAAATTAACAAAGCACGTTTTTTTGGGCCAGTTCCACTCAAATGGCTTTCGGATGTATCATTACAGCAACAACTTCATCTGGAAATTTTCAAAGAACCAAATGCCAAGCAATAAATAAACCAAACTTTGGAGCTAAACTGTTTTGATACAGAGGCTGCACTGAAGAATTCTCATTAATATACAATAATTAGCTTTCTTATGATTCAGTTTTTATCACCCCTTGAAACATAATAAGACAAAAACTCACTGGGTAGATGAACATTAGTGAAAAGATTTATGCTTTAAAGGTAAGATTGGCAGAAAAGTGTAGTGTAAAGGGGTAAATCTTTGAAGTCAGAAAAGTCCATTTTGCTAACAATTTATATTGATTTTCTAATCAACAAGGAATATCCTCCATTACAACAAAATTAAATTAAAATGCAGAAGTATTGCCAGATAATTTTTAATTTACATAGTACACCTTCAGTTTGTAACCTAGTGGTTCTCAAAGAAAAAGATGTAGTTTGGCTATCTGACAATCCATCTTAATTGTCATTCAAATTGCACACCCACTTATTTGGATTTAATCCTTATCAAGAATTATTTTAGGGGCCAGCCCGGTGGCGCACTGTGCTAGTGCGCCGCTTGGGAAGCGCGGTGGCGCTCCCGCCCGAGGGTTCGGATCCCACATACAGACCGGTTCCCACTCACTGGCTGAGCGAGGCGCGGGGGGCAACACCGAGGGTTGCGATCCCATTGCCGGTCCCGGTCCGGTACGGGGGCGACACTGAGGGTTGCGATCCGTTGCCGGACACGGAAAAAGACAAAAAAAAAAAAAAAGAATTATTTTAAAATGGAAACCAGGTTCAAGTGGCAGACAGGGTATCAAGGAATCAGGCTGATGCTCCCAGCTTACACTGTGGCTGTTCATAAGTCACTTAATCTTTCTGTGGTCACTCTTTCTACTTTCAAAATGGAGATACTGCTCCTGGACCTAACTCCACAGGGTTTTAGTGGGGAAAGGAGTCTGAAGAACAAGTATTTCAATCCAGTGATATTTGATCAAAGAATGAAAAGACTGAGGAAGAGCATGAGTAGTAGGTTCTCGTACTAATGAGATCAGTAAATGTTTAGAAAACAGAAAATAAACTATTAGATAATATAAAATTCTAAAACTCTTGAAACAAGACTAGCCTGAGAGATTCAAATACTAAATCAAACCACAGACATGACAGCTGACCAGTTAGCGCAGTTGGTTAGAGCAAGTGTTATAACCCAAGGTCAAGGGTTCAGATCCCCGTCCTAGCCAGCCACCAAAAACAAACAAACAAAAAACCAGATAAGGTACATTTTATCGTTGAAGAATTTGTTGTAGATTCTCCATCAAACTTTGGAGGATAAGAAGGATTTTTTTTAATTTTAGATGAGAAAGCACTAAAAATGTTGTTGGGCTTTGTTACAAAAGAACACAAGTTTCTTTCATTCGAGTTTAAAAGAATTAATAACTATACAACACCCCTCAGAAGGACACTGCAACATTTTCAACATTTATAGGACCTTGAGTTGTGTAAGATAAAGCTACATTGTTCCCCAATCAAATGATAATAATACGAGCATGAAACACAGCTAAGAATTTATAAAAATAATACAATGCACAATGCACACCTTTAAAAAGATTTTCCCATCTCAGAGCTTCAAACTTGTTCTTCCTTCTGTCCAAAACGCTCTGTCCCCACTTCTCCCACACATCCATCAGAGCACGTGTTCCCTCTTTAAAGGGTCCTCTCTGGTCACCTTTTTCCCTTTTCCTTCATAGAACCCACCACGTTTATAACCATGCAGTTGTTCTTATGATCATCTATTTATGTCTGTTTCTCCAAGAGGCTGTCTGTTCCCTAGGGCCAGGCCCCATGTCCTTCTGTTTACCACAGAACGCCCCACACCCAGCACACTGCTGAGCAGGCCAGAACCTATTCTGGGTTCTTATTGGCTAGATGAAAAAATGAAAAATAGACATGAAAAACTGACCATAAATTTTCAAAGCCAGAAAACAGCAAGAAAAGATAACTCTTCAAATACCAAGAGGAGAAAGAAAAGGTTATTTGACATACTGTTCATTAACCACTAGTAAAGTCATTAGGATTTCAACCCCATGTGGGTAAAACACAGCCCTGTGCTATCCCTAGTGTGCTGATCTGTCTTGGCATGTGTGTGTCCTCTTCTCTGCTAGAACCAAGGTGGAAACCTACCCACTCTGGAATACACTACAGATTCTTCTCTAAGCTTAGGAAGCGGCAGCCCATGAGTACCCCAGCTGCAGCTCCTGTGCTCTGTGGCTCCCTGTTCTAAGTACAACCTAAGGAAGAAAATGGCCACAGACATAGCTCCTGTGCCCCTTGGTATGGGAACAGGAAGGCAGCCCAGGACATGCACAGTCAGGAAGCGCCCTAAATCCATGCCTCTCCAAGTAACTGTGGTGAAGGGCCAGCTTTTTTATTTAGACTCATACAAAAAATACCTTTAAAAAATTACATTAAATAAAGTAAGCCAGGTGCAGAAAGACAAATACTGCATGATCTCACCATATATGAAATCTAAAGAAGTGGTTCTCATGGAAGGAGAGAGTAGAAAGGTGGGTACCAGAAGCTGAGAAGGGGAGGGAAGGGTGGAGAAGGGGGAGAGGTTGCAACAGGTACAAAGTTACAGTTAGACAGGAAGATGGCGTTCTAGACGGACTTTGGCTAATGATATGGTATCGCATATTTCAAAAGAGCTAGAAAAGAGGATCTTGAAAGTTATCACCAGAAAGAAAGGATGGATACGCTAACTACCCTGAGGTGATCATTACTCAATATATGCAAGTATTAAAACACACTCATACCCCATAAACATGTACGAATAAAATTTTTTAAATAAAATAAAAATAAATTATTAGTAAAATAAAATGCCACTTGTAAGACATAGCAATGTCAAATTGCTACAAAAAATTCTAAACACTCACTCTCAGCCTCCATGTTTATCTCACCACAGACCCATGTCCGGCAGTCCAAGGACCAGCACCAGTCTGTGAACCACACTTTGAGTAGGAAAAAATGAAAATCCTAAAGCCTCTAAGAAACTCTACTCCACCAGAAGGAAGACACTGACCAAGCAAATCGCTGAATCTCTCCTAGCGATCTCTAGGAGAGATCTGGCAGGTTTGCTGTGAAGATTAATGATTAATACACCACTGGTACGTAGAGTGATGGTCTGAAAGTGGAAGCCGTTATTAATGTAACAAACCCCTGTAGGGTGCTTTTTGGTTTACAAAGCTCTTCTGATCCCCACAACACTTGAAAAGTATTCTCACCCGGCCTCCGTAGGCTGTCACACCATAGATGAGGGGGCACAGTGTCCTGAAGCAATGAGGATGGGACTGGGCCTAGAGGGACGCAGGTCTGCAGCGGGACGCACTTACGCTCTCTGGAACTCCGGGATGCTGAAGATGGCCTGCATGACAGAGCTGAGATAGCAGCTGTTGCCCAGGTTCTTCAGACCTGTGTACCCGGGGCCATACATAGGCTTCAGCTTCGTCCCCGACTCCTGGATCACTTCCCACTCACTGACCCTCGGCTTGATGTCATTGTCCCGAAGCCCATTCTCTGTCTGGGGCAAGGGCATTGAAGAAAAATAACTTTAAAAGTGATTCTCATTCAAAGATCATGTCCATGAATCATTTCTACTATCAGTGGATGTTTCTGCCTCTTTTCCCAACTACGTCGCGAAATAAACAACCTAATTAAAAGAGACTGAGAGATGGCTATGGTTGGACAATAACTTAAAGGTACTTACTGCCAGGGAATTATACACTTAAAATGGTTAAAATGGTGGTTTTATAATTTAAAAAAACACTTTAAAAAGATTTTCAAAAGAGAAAGACTGAGAGGGAAAGAGATAGGAGGAGGATGAAAGACAAACAGGAATCAAAAAAAAAAAAAGAAGCAAGTAGACTAATTTCAAAGGAAGATACAATACCAAAAAGTAGGCAAGGCGGCGGGGGGACATGTGGAACCAACCACGGAAGCACCTTCAGAGCAGAGGGAGGTGTAAAGAAGAGCAGAGAAAAATAAATGGAAAAGCAGATGCAAGTGACAAAGAGGAGACAAAGAGAAAAAGAATACGATGAGAGGGACATGTCCTGGGAGCAAAAGGCTAGAACAAACGTGCACATTTAAACAGTGTCTCAAAGGGAAACATATTACATAGTCATGACATCAACTTGAAAACACAATATTAAATGAAGCAAAGCTTTTCCATCAACACTAACATGTTGGCTTATTCTTTTCACCTCCTAGGAGCTCTGCTTCCCTTCCTGAAACTAATTAAAATGATGTTGGTCACAGATAATTTTAAACATCATTTCCCTGTACTTTTTCCCTTTAATGAACAAAAAGTGATTCACGCAAGTGGATCCATCAAAGGAGACAGAAATTTTGTGAGTAAATTCCAACAAAAACAAAATGGTACTTGTTGAGGTGCCATTTTTACCGCAACGTAAAAAATCTAAGCTGGTAACTAAAGAAAATGCTAATTAATTACATTCAAGAAGTAAATGCAACAATTAAAACCTAAAACCTATAAAATGAAGATCCATGTTAGAGGAATTATGTATTAAATAAACCAAACAGTTCCCTCTCCCTCCCTCCAACTCCACCCCACGCCCCTGACCCCTACAAGGTGGGAACAGAAACAAAAATAGACTTTCTCACCCCATGCATGTGAAGCATGTCAATTCCAAAATGTGCTAAGTGCTTGGCCAACTGAGGATCCAAAACGGGTTCCTCTTCTTGGAAAGAATAAACATCTAGAGGATGAAGAGAAAATAAGCACTGAGATCTGCAGCCAAGTCAGTCAATATTCAACATATATTTTTTGAGCCCCTTCTGTGTACCAGCTTGGGATAGATCACTGACCAAAACAAGCAAAAACTTCATTAACATTAACATTTAACTGTGGAAAAGACAGATGAGAAAGAATAAACATAAGTAGTAGGTGTACTTTATAAATATACCCATATATCAATTCTTTTGATATTTCAGAAAGTTTCAAAAAAAACTTTTCTAAAACAAGAAAAAAAACCTGTCTAAAGTCAAAATAATTAAAAATTATACAAATATAAAAGCCTAACACTTGATTTCTCTAATCACAGTGGCACAACTCTAAGTTCAGGAAGAGGAAGGTGAAGGAGAGGGGGTGACAGCCATCTGCCATGGCAAGGAGAACCTATGGGGGAACAGAGAGAACACACAGGCCCTCAGGGGCAGCTGAATGGCTGGTGGGGGTCTTAGGTCCAGGACAAAACAAAATTCTGCCTGTGGAACCCTCTACATTGTCAGATCTACCACCTCACCAGCTTCCACCTCCACCTGTCCCCTCAGCCCTTCTGTCCTACGTTCATGTCCACACCTCACAGAACCAGTGGGAGAGCTCTGAAGACTGTGTAGTGCTTCCCAAACGTGTCCACCTCATGGCACACACAGAAAAAGAGGGTAAGTCAGGACTCCAGGGCAACTCGGGAGCCTCCACCACCATGGGCCCCACCCCACGTCCCCAGAGCCACAGGGATTTGCATCTTGGCCATGTTGCTAACCCACTTGTGGCACACTAGTGTTGGTAAGCTCTGTGCGAGGGTGGCAGCTTCTCTCCTCAGGACAATATTATCCCACCTGACAACATAATGCTTTCTGCTGCACCTGGCTTCTCCCGGAGGTGTTGTGGACTTGAAGCAGCAGCCTCATCTGGAAGCTGGTTAGAAAAGCAGAATCTCAGGCCCCTCCCCAAACCTACTAACTGAGAATCTGCATTTTAACAAGATCCTCAGGGGCACAGCAAAGTGTGAGTAGAACTGCTTAGAGTTTCCCAAAGCTATCCAAACCACTGCCTTCTCTTCCTCACCCAGAGCTGCAACAGGGAGAAGAAACAGACAGTTTCAAGCCCATCTGGCAGATGAAGAAAAGAGACTCATGAAGGCTAAGTAATTTTGCCTCACATCCCACAGGTTGCCCAGAACCCACATACTCTGACTCCTGGCCCAATCCTCTTCCCTCTATACCAGGATATTTCTTAAGACGTATCAGGATACCAACAGACTCAGTGAAGTGTCATCCTAGGTCCTTAACAGAAATGGAGACTCAGGGCCGAGCCCGTGGCACACTCGGGAGAGTGCGGCGCTGGGAGCGCAGCAGCGCTCCCACCACGGGTTTGGATCCTATATAGGGATGGCCGGTGCACTCACTGGCTGAGCGCGGTGCGGCCGGTCTCAAAAAGGACAAAAAAAAAAGAAATGGAGACTCAAAAACCACAATGTCCTCACTCTTAAATTTAAAAAACGCTATCTATTACAAGGAAAATAGGTACGAAGACGTTACTCTTTAAGGATGGTAAAAGACTGTCCGAGGAGTTCTCACTCTTTGGAAAATCACCAGGAGGGTGGGAAAAAGTAATGCCCAGAAGCTATGGTGGCCTTCTGACCCATACCCGGATATGTGGAGACTCGCAGCCCCCAAAGAAGTCAGTCTTTCTGTTATTAAAGATCTAACACTGTACAGCTTTCTCTTCTGCTCCATTTCTCTCCACTTGTAAAGAGCAACCCCAATTTATATTTTTTTAAATATAACTCAATGTTCTCAAAAGCAAAAACAAAAGATAAAATCCCAGCCCAATTAAGAAAAAAATTCCAAAAAGTTTAAATACAAAAAAAAAGCCTAAATATCTTTGAACTAATAACTTGAAACAAATACTTCAACAATATTTTTAATCTACGACAAGTGACAGAAAAATACCACTCAAATACTGGCTGGAGGGTGAGCATGGCACTCCATAAGGACTTTAACTTTAGTTATTATTAATTAGTGATATGGTTTTGAAGATGTAAGTCTTTAAGCCTCTAATAATGAGAGCTCTATTAGAAAATAATGAAGTTGCTAGAACTGCACCACTGGCATTGGCCTAGGATTTTGAAATGAGTGAAAATCATGCAGCCCTCGACAGTTGCTAACCTGTTAGGCCCTTGGCACATTGAGAAAATAACATTTCCTACCTCCAGTTGTTAACCGTTCCAAAGATACAACATGATTTGGTCAGACACTATACTTATTTCTGACCCCAATGACAAAAACAGTTTAGTGAGTAACATACAAGAAATCCAAAACTGAGCTGTGACTTTTAAACTTAGCAATCGTGAAGGACTTATAAACATGTAGTCATAGAAAACCTTTTTAAGTGGGCTCAGTGGCTAAAATACTGCCTTACACGATGGTACGTCAAAAAGTTCCTGGAAAGATTTGTATTATCTCTCGATTTTATTTTTCCCAGGAGCTTTTTTTTGTTTGTTTGTTTTTTTGTCTTTTTTTCGTGTCCGGCAACGGATCGCAACCCTCAGTGTCGCGCCCGTACCGGGCTGGGACCGGCAACAGGATCGCAACCCTCGGTGTCGCGCCCACACCTCGCTCAGCCAGTGAGCGGGAACCGGTCTGTATGTGGGATCCGAACCCTCGGCGGGAGCGCCGCCGCGCTCCCAAGCAGCGCACTGTAGCAGTGCGCCACCGGGCCGGCCCTCCCAGGAGCTTTTTGAAGTATCCTCATGTTTTTCATTGGGAAACTCATTTTATCTCCAACTTCAGCTTAGCAAAGTCCTATCTTAGCTCAGAAACTATCATAATCAACAGTAAAGCCTAACAAGTAACACCCTTCATACCCCCCAACTTGGCCTAAAATTTGGAGCCAAAAACTACAGTTAAGAAGTTCACAGAGGGAGTCTCCCAAGAATAGCTCAAGCAGCATTTCATGAGTTAACTACAATCATTTTAGAAGTAAACCAGTTGTTTCGTTTCAAGTTAAATGACAAATTAAACCACAGAGAGGCAGCAATCCACAGAAGAGAAAAGATAAAAGAAAACTTTTAGAACAGGAATACCCCAGTCATGTGATAAGCGTGTTCAAAAACAGCATGTGCAATACGTTCAAAAATTAATTAAGGAAAAAGATAGTAGCAATGGAGACTGACCCTGGAACCGAGATTGAGAATCTGTAAGGAATCTTATCAAAATGGTAATAATAACTTATCTCTGAATGGGAAGATTTCTTTTTCTTTTTTTGTTTTTTTCTAAATGTATTTTGGAAATAATTTGATTTTTAAAATGTTTTATAAATAATTACCAAAGATTTAAATGATTCTGTTGGATAGTCAGAGTGCCACTGGTCATCCTTGTTCAGCCACACAGATTAAGTCACTCACTCATTTATTCATTGTAGTCAACAAATATTTACTGAGGATCAAATATATATTGATACTGAGGATATGATGTTAAATAAGATAAGCAAGATCCCTGCCCTCATAAGTCTAAAGTTTAATATTTCAGATAGTCTTAGAGGAAATGCTGGCTTGGTGTGAAGGACCTCAGCCTACATCTCTTGGCTATGGTTTAGTCAGGTGACTTTAGGCTCTTTTCCTAAGCCCCAGAAAGTATTGGAAGTCCAAATCCTCCCTCCAGATCCCACACAGGAAAGCAGAAGAGAGAGGGAAAGATGTATCCCAACAAGTTCTTGTGTTTAGGAAGAGAAACAACCAGCTCTGCTATCCTGCTCCCAGCTCAAGTGGAGAAGAAAACAGAACTCCTGGCCGAACCCCAAGCAGCAAGTCAGAGGAGAGAGAGGAGGAGAGTTCTCTTCGGAGTAAGTGCCTGTCTGCCCTCCCAAACTGCACTTCATCCCCATGAGTTTATATCTGTGTGCCTGCCACAGATGATAAAAGAAGAGAAACAAGAGAATGTTCCAGCAAATACACTGGAAAAATAAACACAAAATGAATGAGGTCAGAGGCATATACAATCACTTTAAAGAAAGAATATAACTCTCAGGCCAGACAAAACCTGAACTGTAGTCAGGAAAGAAAAACAGGTAAGAGTAAAAAGATATCAATAAAATAGAAAAAAAAGAGAAAAGGTGAATCAGAGGATTTTGTTGGTGTGTCTTCCTCCTTTTGTTTACTCCACAAATATTTACTGAGCACTTAGTATTTACGAGGGGCCATGCTCCGTGCTAGTGTGTACAGCAAACATGGCACCCAAGCCCCACAATCATAGGTGAGCAGCATTAAACAGGTACAGGAACCTATGAAAAGTGCCACACTGGAGCAGCATGAGGCACTATGGAAACACACAGGAGGGGCACAAGCCAGGTCAAAACTGAAATGAATATCTAGATCCCAAGCCCTCAGGGTATGAGAAACTCAAGGCAGCTTATGCCCAGGTCAGGGGTATAGAGGATCGAAGAAGAAAGACCAACTTGAGATGCTATTGAGCTGATGCAGCCAATGGGATGGGCAATTTCACAGCTGCCTTGGCATCTCTGGAAGACTCTCCTGCAATCACTCAAGGCAGTGGAGCATCTTCTTAGGTCAACTGGTTTCCATGATGGAAGAAAAACACACCCTCTCCTACCTCCATCCCACCTCACTCCCTTCCCATCCAGAACTCATCCTCGCTTGCCAAAACAATGTCTCCTCCCACAGCAGAGAGCTTTCTGTTTGTTTGTTTGTGTGGTGATCTGTTTCTTGGTTTGTTTGTTGCTGTGCCCATGGGGACGCAGAGTAGAACTTGACATGAGGCTCATTTTTACCATGCATGCCACCACACTGGCTTAGCCTGGGGGATCAGGGCTTCTTTGAAGAACTAAAATCTAAGTTGAGACCTCCAGGATGAGTAGCGGTTTCTCACTGAACAAGTATATCCTTATTGGACGAAAGGAAACCAGGATGGTAGATCACACTACTATTAAATACCTGAGACCACAACCTTCTTGGATTCCATGTTCACTAAGCAATCTTCTAAATATAATTCAGCTTCCCACAGGGAAGGAATGTACTGGTCAAGCCAACGTAAACATCCCACTTACTGGCAGTTGTGGTTCTCATTACTAACGGAAAGACAAATGCCCTGACTTTGAGCCTTTGTCTCTTGTGAGTTGAATGAGCCTGAGTGAGCCCAGCAAGGGTGGAAGATGGACCCCTCAGCAGGGGTACCCTTCCCGGGAGATGGCTACCACACCCCGAGAGAGCACATGGGCCCTCTGGGCCTCAACAGCCACAAAGCTCATCAGTAGACATTTAAGAAAACTTTATGCATGTTCTTATTAATTTATGTGGCTTTTAAATAAACAGTAAGTTATAGATAGCAATCTATTCAACAGATTTAAAGAAAACCAAAATAGAATCGATGTATCTCATAAACTAATATGAAATAATTATACTAAAAATAATCGTTTTTATTAAAACCAACTCTGCACAACTTAGGCAGGAATCAAAGCCAAACACTTTTCAAAAAGTTAACACAACTTCAGCTAAATTAATTCAAAAACCCTCATCACAGGGTTTGCAATGATCTGCATTGTTGTTGCCCAACATTTTATAGTTTCTATGATTAAAATGGGAGTATGCATTCAAATATTCTCAATTATATGATAAGAAAAACTTAAAAGTTCTCCCTCCTTCACACACACACACACACACACACACACACACACACACCTTAACTATGGTAGATAATGGGTTAATATTCTTAATAGCCAGAGTTCTTAAAAACCAATTTAAAAAAACCTACACATACACCTACTAGAAAATTAGCCTAAGAAATGCACAAAAAGAACTACAAATGGTCAAGAATACTTGAAAAATGAAAAATGTTCAGCCTCACTAGTAAAGCAAATTAAAACAAGATACCAAATTAGCAAAGGCATTTTAAAAGTTTTAATATGCAAAGTTGTCAAGGATTTGTTGAACTGGGTACTCTCATACACTGCTGGTGGAAATGTAAATTACTGCAAGTGTTTAAAAGAGAAGCTCAGCAACTGAAAATTTTAAAAATTCAACCTTTTCTCATAAGAATTTATCCTAAAGAAATAATCAGACAAACACCCAAAGATTTGCATATATATATATATATATATATATATAAGAATGTTCATCAGAATAGCAAAATATTTGTGACAACTCACAGGGCAATCGTGAAATGACTTACAGAACCATCAAGGACAAACCTAAGGTTACTAGAGATGGTGGGGGAGCAAAGGGTTTGGGGGAGGGACAGGTTGGGTAAAGGGCATAAAGAAAAATCATGATTTGGGGCCAGCCTGGTGGCGCACTGCTACAGTGCGCCGCTTGGGAGCGCGGTGGCGCTCCCGCCGAGGGTTCGGATCCCACATACAGACCGGTTCCCGCTCACTGGCTGAGCGAGGTGTGGGAGCAACACCGGGGGTTGTGATCCCGTTGCTGGTCCCAGTCCGGTACGGGCATGACACTGAGGGTTGCGATCCATTGCCGGACACGAAAAAAGACAAAAAGGAAAAAAAAAAAAAAAGAAAAATCATGATTTGTAATAATGAAAATGCTAATAATAATAAATAAATAAATACTGAATGCTTAATAATATGAAAAAATATAAAGTAATGTTAAATAGAGAAAAATAAGAAATAGAATTTTATATATATAGTGTGATCCAATTTTTGTAAAAATGGAGTGTGTGTGTGTGTGTGTGTGTGTGTGTTAAGAATTCACATAAAAACAAAAAAAAATACTGAAAGGAAATATCTAAAATGTTAACAGTTATTAGTCTGGAGGCAGGCTATTCCTAGAGATTTTTATTTATCTAAACTTTTCTATTTTCTACATATGTTACACTAAATATGTTTCTTGTATAAGCAAAGAGAAAATATAAAACTCTCCTTCTTCAAACTAAAAGAAAAGAAACTCTAGATTTACTCTAAATAGCAGTTTGAAAATAAGTTTCCCACTAGAACAAAAGTTTCTGGAAAATTAAAGATACATAGAGAATGGGGGGCCGGCCCGTGGCTCACTCGGTAGAGTGTGGTGCTGAAAGATACATAGAGAATGGAATTAACCCTTGCCTTTCTTACTAGAATGCATTTAAATAAAATCTAATTATTTAAATGCTTATATACCAGTTGGTTCATTTAACAAAAGTATTTGTGCGTAGCATGTGTAAGATTTTGTATGGAACCTAAAGAAGACTAAGACATAGCTTTGCCTTCAAACAAGTAAAAATCTAGAAGAACTAAGCCATATATACAAATAGTTATAGTCTTAAGTTGTTCTGCAAACTGGATTTCTAATAACTGGTCTTATAAAAGCACTACACAAGATAGCACAGAAAACAGGAAAATGTGAATTATTCTCCCCTTGCAATTTTACCCAGAAGAATTCCTACATTGCAAACCTTTCTCTCTGTAACCCCCTAAAGGGAAAGGAAGGCTCTATACAGCAGTCATTCAACACCCATTTATTGAATAACAATAACCTGAAAGCATGGTGCTATAACCTTGAATCCAAATGCACATCCTGAACTTCCCCTTTAAATTTGGGAAGATTAAATCTTGCTTGTACATAGGGTTATTGGTTGATTCACTTTGGGGGGAAATGTTTGGTACCAGCACCTAGGACTCTTAACTATTTTTTTCTAATGAGTTAAATTCTGTGAAATTTGGAAGCAGGAAAATTCTGCAAAATATGAAACAAAAGAATCCTGGCATGACCTAACTGCCAGCCCTGCAGTATAAAACCAATGAGAAACTACACCAGTTCAATGGAAAAGCAATGGTTGGGGAGAAGTGTCCCATGTTTGGTGAGAAGCTCTTGGACAATGAACTCTGAGGCAGGCTAATTCAGGCATAGAAAAATAACAGGAAAAGAAAAAAGAGAGGACAGATGTCTTTATATTCTCCTAACAATATCTTATCTTAAAGAAAAGAAGAAACATGTTAAATAATGCCTGGAAAAAAGGAGAAGACTGGGCTGGGTGTTAGTCCAGATCTGTGTTCAATAAATACTTTCTTTGACGATCAGATGATGGGTTCTTTTAGCCTCTGCTGAATATTTTAGTTTCTCATTATTGACGTGGATATTGTTTCCATTTCCCTCTCAAAACGGTAGAGAGAATTAATTGTACGAACATGGCCAAAAACTAGTGTTTCTGAGCATACTGCATGAAAGCAAAAAGAAACAACTGATTCTGAAGCTAGTAGGAAACAATTCTAATCCTTCAATGAACGTCAACACCATCGCTGCCAGATGATTTCAGGCATGCGTCAACACTCAGTATCCTTTAAAACTCATCTTCTCCATAATTAATCCATTTGTTCCCAAAATGATACTAATCCCCATAATGAATTCTTGGGCTTCCTCCTACTGTTCTCGTAGTGGATTTGATTACGCACACTCATTTCACAAATCCTGTTTCCTGCTCTGTCCTCTTAGCCAAGATATACAGAAGGAGAATAATAACAATAGCAGCTAACTTTTATTAAGACCTTATTATGTGTCCTTTTTGCACATTAACAAACACATAAAGGACATAGCATCATCGTCCTCCAGATGAGGAATGCGAAGCTTAGGAGGGTTAGAAAACTTGTCCAAGACCTCATTGCTAATAAGTGGCAGAACTGGGATTCAAACCTGGGCTGTGAGTCTAACCATAGGGATTGAGGGATTGGTTAAATCCAAGAGGGAGCCACTGCATGTCCCCAGATTCAGTAAAGGCACACTTACCTGCCCCATCAGGAGTGATGGTTCCCAATTTCACAGCTAGAGGGTAGCCCGTGTCTCTGTAATGCTCCAGAGCGTGCCCATTACCCCCAGAGCTGTCGAAGAACCACTTTCCACACAGGACAGAGCCGTCGGTCAGGTTCAACCAGAGGTTTTCCCGCAGGTCACACCTGGCACACTTCCAACCACTGGAAGTCATTGGAGAGCAATCAGAACAGCCGGAGCATAACAAAAAAAAACCAGCATCTAAGAAAATAGCATCTGAAGCAGGCGGGTCACAAGAATTGCTCAGTGGAATAACAGAGAACTGGTGCTTCCCTGTTTTCTCCCCTCAAAACATGACGGTCACCCCTCCCTGAGCAGCAGGGCCACTCCATACCCCACCTGCCTCCAGATGTGGACTAGCTCCTCCCAGCATCTCTGAGATGGCTCTTTTACTTTAGAAAATTGACACACAACATGGGGGTAGGGGAGGAAGTCATTTCTTTAAAATTCCTACGTGAGGGACAGGGGAGCTTGAACGAATTAAAAATACTAAGGATTTTGTAGATATAAACATCTAAAGTTCTAAAGCATTAGCCACTCATAGTAAGACTAGTTTAAACAAAACCCTACTGCACTGCAAATCTAAATCAATTAGAAAGGAAACCAACTTAACTAAATGTTGAATGTCGGGTACGTGCCAGGTACCTCACAAAAGTCTTGTCATTTAATCTAATAAAGACTTTTCGGCATCAATATTACCATTCCTATTTTTACAAAGGGAGAAACTGAGGCCCAGAAGTAACCCTCCTATCCTAAGAACACAAAGAACATGAATGCACTACAGTCAGGGTCTAACCAAATCAAACATATTCCTAATCCATCTGCTCTTTCTCACTGTAGCTGCCTCTGTAAATACACCAACCACCTAATAAGAGGAAATGCTAATGTAGTTCAAAGAGCATTCCAGCCAAAATGTGACAGGCAAAGACTGTGGCAAGTTGGGTTCCCCTAGAACAGACTATGAGATGAAGCTATGAATGTCAACGGCATGGTTGGGAGGTGATCCCAGAGGAGTGGGGAAGAGAGACAGGAAAGGGCAGAAAGCCAGTACAGGGTATGTTAATGTCCACTACGAGCAGTTGGGGCTCAGGACAGCTGGGGAACTACATGAGACGGATATCCCATCTGGGGGTGCAGGGAGCTGGGGTGTTTATCCACCCACTCCACAGTCACTGGTTGAGGGCTGTTCCAGGAGGAGAAGAGGGAGCTTTAACTCTGTGACTGTCCCACGCACCGGCCTAGCTGGCTTCAGCAGGCAGAGAAAGCCCTCAAGTAGAGTTGCAGGTGCTTGCAACTGGCAGCTTTAGGGCAGGGAAACGCTTGGAGGTATGTATGGGCCAGGCATGTTCAGCATCTACTACAAAGGTATAGACAACTTTAGAGAGAAGTTTTGAGCTTAGTTTTAATAAAAAGCATCTGGTAAGAAAATATATAACTCCTAATTCAGAGAATTGGCCAATTTGGGGGCATAAAGTTTCATTTTGCTATTTGACTCTCACCTCGGAGGAATCCTGACTCCATTGTCCAACTGGGTGAGGTTATTGGCATATTTTGATACTGGTAATTCATTGTCCCATGTGTCTGGGTCCTGCTTTCTGTACGGAGATTTTGAGCTGAGAACTGCATCACAGGCTATTGTTACCTATAAGAAAAACCCAGATGCAATATATAAAAGCGGTTTGAGAGAACAGCAACTTCTAGAAAGTGAATTTAAAAGCTTATTAATAAATACAGCTTAACTGAAGAAAATTCAAACAGCATAGTTACCAAGTGAGCGAGATCCTCGTTTCCTGCACTTTTCCCTGGACCTAGCTAAGTTTTACCCCTGGCCTAGAGTTTGTAGTGCTGACAATGACACAAGATAGCAAGGAACCAAATTCAGTTTGTAAGTCAAGCTTAGGGGTCAGATTTAATAATTCCTACCACTTAGCAAGCAGGGTGAGAAGTCTGAGCTAAAAAATGTACAAAGGTGAAATTAGGTACAGGAATGCCCAGGATTTACCTGAGTGATGTGTTTTCCTCCCAACAAATGTACACCCAGATATCCAATATCCTCAACTTGTCACACAATGCCATGTGGTCAAGTGAACTTGAATGGAATGTAAGCAATGGCTCCATTTCTTAATCTAGTGCAAATGTGACCCTGGATGGGGACATGCCTGGGTATCTCTTTGCCAGACCAGTCCACATCATGAGCAAATCTGTGATGTTCTGCTTGGCACTAACTGACCACAGGAGAGGAGGAAGACAGATTCTCAGCCTTTTCACAAACCCAACTGATCCTGGCCACATGCCTATGACCAAATTTGCTATTTGCTATTTCTAGCTGTCTTTAGAAATTTATATTCTGGTGGGAAGGGAAAATGATACAGCTGCTTTGGAAAACAGATCGGCAGTTCCTCAAATGGTTAAATAGTTACCAGACTCTGTAATTGACCCAGCAATTTCACTCAAGAGAAATGAAAATATGTGTCCACACAAAAACCTGTACACAAATGTTCTTAGCAGCATTATTTATAATAGTCAAAAATGGTAACTACCCAAATGCCTATCAATGATAAACAGAACGTAAAATAAAATAAAGTATGTTCATACAATGAAATGTTATTCAGCAATAATAAGGAATTAAATACTGATACACACTAGAACATGGATAAATCTTGAAAATACATGCTAAGTGAAAAGACACCTGTCACAAAGAATAACATAGTGTATGATTCCATTTATAGGAAATGTCCAGAACGGGCAAATCTATAGAGACAGAAAGTAGATTAGTGATTGCCAGAGGTTGGAGGGATGAAGGGTTGGAGTGTGATGTCTAAGGGCTGTGGAGTTTTTTGGGTGGAGCAATAAAAATGTTCTAAAATTAGACAGTGGTGATGAGTTTCCAACTCTGAATATAATAAAAGGCACTGAATTGCAAAAAAGTTTAAAAACAAAAATAAGATTTGTATTCTACATCACTAACATCCTGCATAATTAGTTGGCCATTTTCCCCTGAGTAGCACTGGCAACTGACGCTAAAATAAGTAAGAAACAAAGGACCAAGTTCCCTCAGCCACCATCCCACACCCACCTAGCCCGTGAGCAATTCCTATGAGTCCTACATCCAAAATGTATTTGGAATCCACTTCTCCATTTCAACCACAACCATCCTAGTCCCAGCCACCCGCTGGGCTCACCAATGGCTACACAACAATCTCCTTACATCTCCTTTCTTAAACTCTTGCTCCCTCTTCCCTGCACAGCAGCCAAAGTGATCTGCCATGTAAATTAGATTCCAGGCTTCTCCACCTTAAAACTCTCCAAGGTTAAAATGAACACTACCAACTGATGACACTGGGCTAGGCACAGTCAGGAACGAGGAAGCAGTCCCTGCTCTCAAAAAGCATGTAATCTATCAATCAGGCATCCATAAATATAATTAAACCTTTTTAAAGAGATAAGACCATTCCTCTTTCACCACAAGCATTGTTGTATAATTAGCCTTTCTTTTCAGTTATTAAAATTCATCTCCCACCACCTTCCAGGGATGCCCATGAAAAGAGGGCTGAGTTCCCCAGAAGCCACTTCCAGATTTCATGGTTTGGGTCATGCCATTTAGCACTTCTGGCTACAGCACCTTAACCTTTTTAGTCTGGACCATCATAACCTCCTTGTTTGTTTTACCTACTATCTGGATCATTTCTCTGTCCTCCTTTGGATTTTTTCCACTCTATTAGATCTTTTTTAAGTGTCTTGGTTTGAAATGCATAATGATTTCGAACAAGATTCAGATATAATCGTCTCTCTTTTCTTTGAATATTCTTCTAGTGATGCCCAACAAAATTTCCTTAGATTTCTGGGCTGCTATAAAACATTGATCTAGTGTTTTCAGATTACCATCTAAAATCACTTAAAGGCCCTTTTTATGGCTTTTGCAGCTGAAGGTCAGGATCCATCATCCTATATTTACACTGTGAATTATTTTCCTCTGGATTTGTTACCTGGAGTGAAGTGAAGAGAACTTGGTAGTAGTCCTGGCTCCATTCCAATTCTCCACAAGCCTCAAGGTCAGTGGTGTGCTGAAATTGGCTCAAACTGGCTCATAAGAGCTGATTATTAAATTTTAAGAAATTTTGCAATATGGTTGCTAGTCATTATTATAATGTAAATTATGTAAATTTACAATTAAATAAGATACTTTTTTGAAAAAGGTAACATATTCAAAAACTCTTCACTTCCTAATTGTTTTACTGTATCTTACTATTATCTATGTGCCATTGAGGTTACTTATGTCTATGTTAGCTGAATGGTGGAAATTCTGTATAAAGGCCTGCTACTGTGCATCTCTTCCCAACACCACATTCAGCAATGTTAGCCTAAAATTGGCCATGGGAGTACTAACACCATGGAAATCAGCAAACACAACAAAGCAGGGCTTTTCACCCAGGGAGCCAACTGTGAAACATTTACAAGCACACCACTGCTCAGGTTCCTGATGTCCAAAACAAAGGCATTGGGTTTCAGTCTCTAAGATGCTGCTATGTCTATGTGAGCCCTGCATTACTCAGAGGTGGTTTAACTTTCTGGTAGAACCTATAGAGTAACTTTCTGAAATGGAAATTGTTCTACACTGAGATGTTCAAGAGATGAAAGAAGAGTCACCAGGTTAGATGTTTTTAAGCTTTTTATTTAAAAAAGCTTTAAAAAGTATTTAAATAAAAAATACTTTTTATTTAAAAGTATTTAAATAAAAAATACTTTTTATTTAAAAGTTTAAAAAAAGAATCATCAAACACCAAAAATGTAGCAAAAGCATGAAAAGAAGATATAGGTTAGCATCAGATAATCCAGGTTTTTCTTTCAATCTCCCTAATCCCACCTTCCAAATAATTCTTTTTTTTTTTCCATTCTTAAAGTATTTCTTAATTCTAAAAGACTCTATTAAAAATTATGATATGTCTTGCTGAATTAGGATTTCTACGGCACTTTCCTTTAAAATAAGAATTTATTCACACTTCAAATTATACTCTGCATATGGGAGTAATTAAAAGACTTTTGTATTAACTTTTTTCACATAAAGACTTCTTCATGAGTGAATGAGAGAAAAATAATTACTCATGACATTCATTCAAAATATCCTTTACTTCTCTTTTGACAGAAGAAATAGGAGTTATATTTAACAAGGGCAAGGAGGACTCTCCGTAGTACAGTGGTATAAGCTTTAGTATATAATAGCAGGTAATAGGATGAGGTATGGCCATTTTGTCCACTAATATATTTTATCCTTGGTAACAGCCACATGAGTCAACACAGGGAATTGGAGAAAGCAAAGGCAATTTAATTCTGCATGCCTTACTGAACACTGTGCACTTAGTACTGAAAAGGATGTGTACATTTAATAATTAGAAAAGCTACAATAGGTAAATACCCAGAATTCTCATTTCTATGGTCTTATATTTAGATACAAAGTAGATCAGAGGCAAAAGAGGTTTAATGGTGGAAACCTAGTCACTGATGACATGGAAGCCCCAAACCCAAATGTCCCTCTTGGCAGAGGTGAGTGAACACATGGCATAGATACAGAGTCACGCAATGCCTAGAAGACTCTGAGACCTAAAGACCTGGCTTTGGTCCCAGCAGGGTTGAGGAGGGAAAAAATGAACTGGCATGTCTAGCCTCAACCCACAGTGACCCACTGTCATCTATGACCCGGCCCTGGGAAGTCAAGGTGTGCACAAACTGGAACAGAGGAAAAGGAGGAGAAGAAAGGAAAGAGGGTGGAGTGATGGAGGCAATACAAGAATGAGGAAAGAGCAGGAATAACACTGAGGATCCTGCAGGAACTCTGTACTCACTTATGGGATGCAAGAATCAAAGGAAAACAGCCTGGCTTCCCCTCATCACCCCCACCATCCCCACCTTCAAGTCATCCAGGAAACTAAGGTCCCTCCACAAAATTGGATTAGAAAGAAAGGAAAAGGAAGAAAAGAGAAGGGAAAGGGAGAACTTTCCCCCCTGGAAGTTCACCCCCCAAAATATCTAAAAGCTAGAAAGTAGTCTTAGTCTGCATAGAGAGCAAAACTGAACAGAAGGTTCATATTATCCCAGAGCTCCCGCAGACCTATGTTTGTAAATGTTTGCTTCTTTTTATAACTGTGTTGCTGTTGTTTTAGCAGTGGAGCACTTTTATTTTTTCCAGACAAAATCTTACATGGAAAGACAACACGACAAACGTGATAAAAATATCATCATCCTTCTGATCAAAAGCCAGTCCCTCTCCAGGATTCCCTGAACACTTGGGGCGCGCAGTTTGAAAATCTAAGCAACAGATTGTGACTCAGCAGGCAGAAACCAGCCCATCCTGGAGGAGACCAGACTAATGGACAAGGAAGCCCAACAGCACTGGAAGTAAGAGGCACCGAAGGGTATGCATGGCCCAGTGCTACCGAAATGTGTCCCTGCGAGTCCCTTGCCACAGAAGAAGCCATATGCTCATGCTTACCCTCTTCTCTCATTCAACCCACCTCCCCCCAGTACACACACACCGCACACGCACACACACCTGACACAGAGAGTCACGCGCATCTAGCTAGCAGTCGTGCACACTCACTGACCAGGGCTGGTAACTCCTCAATATTTGGCAGTGCTATTTCATAGTGGTCTGGGAATATAACAAGTTTGGCTTCATCTTCATATTCATAATCGTCGCTATTTAAATCGTCATCAGTATCTAGATCTGAGGAGAAAACAAAAACAAAGAACAAGAAGTGAGGAAAGTAACATCCCACACTAAGGCAGCATCACTGGGAAAGCCAGAAATCACGGGGATGAAACACCAGGGGCATGACACTTACAGCTGCCTCGTCTGCCATGACCGGCCATCTGCTCCAACCAGGAGTAACAGGCCTTGCCATGATTCCTAACTTTAAATACTTATTTACCAGTGACAGATGTATGAAGAAAACTGAGTCAGATCATAGAGCTTTACAGTTAACATAGACACATGTGCTAGATACACAATTCTTAAAGTTTTTGAAGAACAGATTGTTAATTATGATTTGTCAGGTTCCTGGCTCCTGATTTCACAAGAATGGGCTGGAATGTTTTCCACAATGTTGCAATATGGAAGAAAGTACATGGGTTTGAGATTAGATAAACCTACGTTCAATTCTGACTCCAAAACTTAATGTTATTTTAGGCAAGTCACAAACTTTCTAAGCCTTAGTTTCCTCATTTGTAGCATGGAGATATCTAACACAGTTTATATAGGAGATAAATGAGAAGTTGTAGACAAGAGACCTGGCATGTAACAGGTAGTCAATAAATGGGAGCTATTATTTAATAAAACTTCCCTCTCACTCTCTCTGACTATCTCTGTCTTTCTCTCTGTCTCCTCTAAGAGTTGTTGGGATATTGAGTAGTAAACCAGAGGGGGAAACCATATCATGTGCACGGTCCTGTAGTCTTCAGGCTGGTAAGAATTCTCAGTAAGAAATATGAGCAAGCTCCTCCAGCCTGTTATCTACTAAGTCATCATCTCTTCGCTTGGCTAATCTCTAGTGAAGGTTAGGTGGACACTCCAGGAAATGTTTTGTTACAATATTAACATGAACATTTCAACCTCACGTTTACAGGGACACCAGCAACCCAGACCATGTTTTTGTATTTATACGTTCTAAACTATGGTGACAGAGTTATTGAGCTATGTGGCACTCACACGCACACAAGCCCATACACAAACAGGTACACAAACACACGCAGAAACATGGCTCTGTAGATGGAAAAAAGTTATTTTTAGATGAAGCAGCCATCCAAGAACCAAAAGATTTAGATTCTGTTATGACCTTGTATATGCCTTCAACCAAAAACTTAGCATATTTCTGTGTATGGCTCTGCTCTTGAATTCCCAAAGGTAGGACAGTTTTACAAAAATAAGACATAGCTAAAACACAGTCTAAACATTTTAATAAAAGATTCTAAATAATAAGAATCAGAAATAACAAAATAAAGAACCAAACAACATTGTTAGATAGCCATCACAGATTAATCTAACAAAAAAAGCAATTTTAAAGAAGATTCTATGAGTTTAAAAAGTAACAAATGGCATTTATTTAAAAGAAATAATTCAAACAAAGACATTCTATATGTTATAAAAATTTGAATGCCTCAATATCTATAATTTTTAAAAAATAGAAACTCATGTTCAATGAGAATGATATTCAACGCAGTAGAATATTATTTAAATGATAGTTATTTAGAACGTAGAAACATAGAAATGTTTATGCTATGTTAATGCTAAAAATACAAAATTCCTCTTCACTATAAAGACAAATTTGTATTACACTCATAGACCCAAAATGGAAGTAAACCTAAACAAATGAAAACAGTGAGTGGGTGGACTTTTCTCTATTCTTAAAATGTTCTCTACTATTGATAAAATAATGTGTAAAGTACTGTCTAGCTAGGGCTGGGTCTGGAGCTCACAGACCACTCAAGCCCATTCCAGACTGGGTCACAAATCCTTCACATGCCAGGCTGGGTCAACAGGCCCCACACACGCAGGTCTATGAACTAGGTAGCCAGCAAACAGGTCCTTGGAAGCTGTAGGTTCGAAAGCATGGCCATGTGAGTGGTGGCCACTGGAGGCAGTAGTCAGCCAAGATGGCCACACCACGCATGCACACCAACTCCACACACCACACACCACACACACACACACACACACACACACACACACACACACAATTTGTTTACTGAACCACTCCCAATCGGCCCAAGGCAAGAGGGTCTCATTAAATTGTTCTATTTTCCAAACAAGTACCAATTGTTTTATTTCTGTGTACAGATTCGGTTCATACAAGATATTATCTCTTTTCCACAGAAAACATATTCGCTTAATGCTAATTCAAATCTTACCTGGTGTAAATAAATAAAGTCCAAAAAAAGAAAATCCCACTCTGACATTTACTGGCTATGTAATCCTGGGCACGTTCTTTCCAAGTTCATTTTCCTCATGACTAAGCCATGGATAATATTATCTACCCCACAAGATTGTTAAGAGGATTGAACAAGATATGCTTTTAAGGCACCTAATATAGGATCGAGTAGGTGCTAGGGGCTCCACAAACAAAGCCACCATCACCATCATCATCATCATCATCACCTTCTCCAGGTTCCTGGCCACTAACACAATCAAAAATGGCTTCCCTTCCCTTTGGCTCCGCCAGCTCTGAAGCAATCTTGAAATAAGTTTCAGGAAGACCATGGTATCATGTGGTGATCTTCTGTGTGATCTGGGTATGTAGAAGATATGACCTTCAAATGATTCTAGATTGTAAGTTCAGAGAGCAAGAAATGGGTCTTACACACCTCCCATAGCCCCAGCCCCTGAACAGTGCCCGGCACACACCGGACACTCAGTAAATGTCTGTGAAAGGGGACTTCAGGAAGCCAACAACAGCACGGTGCTAAGGACACAGCAAAGCAAGAACATCAGAAGAGTTGCTGTGTTGTTGTTGTTGTTGTTGTTTTTAATCAGCAACTGACATGTGTTTAAAAAGAAGCAGGACTGAGTCATGCAAAAAAGCAGAACATTGTTGTGCTTCTTTACACTTCGTCTATAGTTGACTCTTGTTTTTGTTTTTAATTCATTGGAATGGAAGAGGGCCATGATCTTTCCCAAACTTCTTAATCCAAGTTAGGGAAAAGTCCAGCAGAGGTAACCTACATTCTGATTTTAAGGGACAAATCTAAGGTCTCTCCTGAACATAAATGACCCCAAAGCCCTAAGTATAATCTAAAAACTCCACATCCCTTTAAATCGAGTCTCACCACCACAAAAACTCAGGAAGCTACAGTGTAACCATACCCTAGGGACCAGTAGCACTGCGACTCCCAACTTCTCCCCCGCGGCTGCTTTCCACCCTGGCTGTCAACCGGCAATACCCAGATGAGCGGTTTCTCTAAGTTAAAAAACAAAACATAAAAACTAAAAGAACGCTCTTCCCCAATTCTGCTTCAATGATCCTCCTAGATCCCTGGAAGAGGTGGCTGGAACTACACCCATTTCCCCAAGAAGCCTAAGCTGCCAACGAGGATTTGGGGAATGGATCGCTGAACAAAACCAGAGCTCGGAGTCTCAGGTCAGAGTTCTCTCAGCCTGACCATATTGACGTGAATTCATGCGTGGGAGGCAAACAATCTGTCTGTCCCAGGTCAGCAAAACCTGACCAGCTATTTACCTTCACAGTAAGGTACGGAGAAAAGCCCCTTGAGCACAGAACATGTTCTATGACCCACTTCAAAAGGAAATGGCAAAATGGAGTTTATTTAAACCTTCTGGTCATTATAGACTCAGATGAGTTTTCTGAACAGGCCCATTCCTGGAACTTTTCACAAATTTTCTGTTTTCAACCTATTTTTCATTGATATGACCACCTGGGCTATGACAAAAAAGTGGAATTTAAACTTTCTCAGGTTAAGCAGTAGTTCTTCAGCATTCCACACTTCAGACACAGAGAAACTTAACTCATTCACTCCTATTTGTGAAAATTTGGGGGGACTCAATAACAATATGAATATTTAAGACTTTTTATGACATATCAAAGATGTATATTGTTTAAGTTAATGTATTAGCAGTTATTTACAAATCTGTACACATTTATACTTTCTTGTAAAAAAAATATACAGATTGAGTATCCTTTATCCAAAATGCTCGGGGCCAGAAGTGCTTCAGATGGTGGATTTCTTCAAACTTTGGAATGTCTCTATATACATTTTGGGGATGGGACCCAAGTCTATTGCAGAGTGGGGGGGATCTTTACTCCCTTAGGAAGCCTGAATAAACTGTGTGTTGTGCACCTGCATTTTGACTGTGACCTGCCACATGAGGTCAGGTGTAGAATTTTCCACTTGTAGCATCATGTCACACTCAAAAAGTTTCAGATTTTTGAGTGCTTTGGATTTCAAATTTTCAAATAAAGGATGCTCAACCTGTATGAGATTAGGCCAGAATTAGAGAGGATCCCAGACTCCCTTACCTGCCTCCTTCCATCCTTCTATCTCATGAAACACTAAGCGTTACCAACTTATTCCCCAAATTGACAAACTTTCATGTTTTTGCAAGTTATCTTTCTAAAAGACAACCTCAGTGTCCCTTGCTAGCTTGAAAATGTTAATGCAGAGTTACCCAAACTTTCCCAGTTCACAGCAGCCCTAAACATCCCAGCAGTTTTCTCACATTGGCCCTAAACCAAAAGAAATACCTATTGGTCTGTTTATTAGTAGTTAGGTCCAAACAACTTAGTAAGCATTTACATTTCTGCACACCTGTTGGGCACTGCACAACTTCTCTTTGAATCAGAGCAAACACTATTACCCTTGTTTCCTGTTCTACATTGATTTTTATGTCATACGTACTTTTTACCATACAAACCAACAAGAAATCAGCTTCACAAAGAGACAAAGTCATTGGAAGGAATATAAGGCAACCTAATAGTAAAACTACATCAAGCTTAGTTCATGCAATGTTCAAGCATCAGTGTATTCCCTCAAAGATTTAAAATATCCCTCAGAGCACCTGTGAATTCCTAGCAGCACTCCAGGGTGCCCCAAAGCACAGTTTGGGAACCAAAGTATTAATGGCTCCCTACTGCCCATGGGGGAAAAAAAAATCTAAAAGTATGGTGTATGTATAACTGTATATGTATAACTGAAAGGATATACAAGATATATAAAGATGCGCAAACAGAAAATAGTATTTGTCTCTGAAAACAGTAACCAAGTGGCTGGTAGACAGGGAAGAGAGGGAAACTTACTTTTCATTGTGGAGCCTTCTCAGCACCACGCTCTAACCATATGTGCTACTGGCCAGCCCCTGCAGAGCCTTTTATAACTTTCTAATTTTCAGTTTTGTCCATGTGTTACATAATCAAAAAATATTTTTTAATCCTAAATACAAAAAAGCATAAAATTTAAATGATTTAATAACTACCAATAATTATACTTTTTGCTTTTAAAAAAATTACCAACAAAAGCTAGAGCTGAGGTCATTTCACCTGAATGAACATCAAGGTAATTGGGAGGAAGAGCAACTTGACACTGAGGGGCAGGATGGTGCTCAGGAGACTTGGGCAAGCCATTAGCACCAGCTAATGGCCTCAGCTTCCCTTGCAAAATCAATACTGAAGGTCATAACCGAATGACTCAATGGTTTCAATGTCACTGTTGAGCCAATGGAAAAGGAATTATTCACAAAGTCATCAAATGAGTGGGGGAAAAAAGCCTCTATCTGAGATAAAGCACTGAGCATCCTTTTTATGAAGGGGCATCATAACTACATTTCAGCACCAGTAAAACAGCACTTTCTAGTCAAAGAAATTAAGAGAAACTGCAAAAGAGAGTTCAGAGTTTTCTTCCTTCCCCAAAAGATACAATGCCAATGTCCCTTTTAGGGAAGAAATCTGTGGCAAAAGCTACTAGCTGCTCCACATAGCCATTGTCCCCTTCTTCCTTAGTAACAGACCCCCAACTTTACTCAATGAAGCCAGTTAGTAGACTTCATTTTCCAGTCTCCTGTGCAGGTAGGTGTGGCCACGTGACCAAGTTCTGAGCAAAGAGGTGTAAACTGAATGAGGATCTATGAGAAGGCTGACAAAAGGAAGGTGACTGCTGGGAGATGAGATTGTTTTGTCCTTCTCCCTTCCTCTTTCCTGCTTTCCAAAATGGGGATGTGATGGCTGGAGTTCCAACAGCCATTTTGCACCATGAAGTGACCATGAGATTGGAACTCACAGGCCAGGATGGAGGGTGAAACAGAAATATGGGAAGAGTCTAGATCCCTGACGAACAGGAGGCCATCGTGTCAGCCTGGGCTTGCTGTTTCCCAATATCCTCTACGTGACAGAGAAATAAACATCTACCTTTTTAAAAGTTATCAATACCTTAAGTTTTATGTTACGTAACCAGAGGTAACCCTAATATAGCCCATCACTGATATTAATTTACAGGCCACAACAACTTGAACACAGAGCTGGGACCAACATGACAAGAGAAAAGCACCTGCTCCTGGGAGATAAGAAGCAGCAGTTGAGGGGGTTATATATCAGGGCTTGCAAAACCAAATTCTCACTGGGATGAAGAAGCTACAATAAATTTGTAAAGCACCTGGGTATAAAACAATAGCGAGAAATGGGGCCTGGGGCAAGCCCCAGAGTGCTAACAGCATTTGAGTTTAAAATTTTTTTTAAACTGGTACAGTCCAAATAGAACAATTTTGCTGGGCTGTGAGTTTCAGATACATCCTGTGGTTTTCTAAGACATGGAATGCTGAGTGAAAACAGAGGTTAGCTTGTAGAAAAAGTCCCAAAGAAAAGAAATGGTGGGTTATCACTCCCAGGGGGAAACAAAGGGTCCATGTAAGATGAAGCACAAAACTTCAGTGCTTACCTTTGACTTAATTTTTAAAACAGTTATTTGGCAACATTCTATACCATCAAAATAGTCACAAGAAAAATCAAACCTCAAGGTCTTCTGAGTAAAAGACACAATGGTTAATGGCCAAGAGGCCAGCTAATTCTTTTTCAACCCAAGAAAACAACGAAAAGTAACAGTAAGTCAAAATGTTTAATTATTTCCACCTTTGAGAAGGCCATGCTGATGTCATTTATTTTGGAAGAAGTCACATATCTATATGTATATAAGTGTATAGATTTTTTTTTTTACAAAAATCATACCATGCAAATAATTTTGAAATTCCTTTCAAACACTAATCCCTCGCATTTAGGAATATAAACTTGCTTAATCAAACATTACCAAACCACTTTTTCTCCTAAGAAAACCATATCAGAAGCTTAATATGAAATGTGACCATAATTAAGTGATATAGAAATCAGAGGTCATTTGCATAAGCAAAACTGGCTCTTCTGAATGAGAGAAATAAAAATCACAATGAGGCAAACACCACATAATAATTGTTGCAGGCAAAATTCACTGATGAAAGCTAAAATTAGTAGGCAAAACTTTGATCAGAAACAAAATATCAGCACAGTCTCAAAGTATCACCCCAAAGATATGTATTAATTACACTCTACAGTGAAGAAACCCCACAGACACCAAGTTCAGAATCACCAGTATGAAGACATGTCAACATCACATACCCCCTGATATCACACACTAAGAAGAGCACGTTACCTCTGTGACATTCCTGCCAAAAATGCATAACTTCAGACTTATCATGAGTAAACATCAGACAACCCCAAACTGAGGTACATTCTACAAAATGACTGACCAGTACTTTTCAACAGTGTCACAATGAGTCAAGACAAAGGAAGGCTGAAGAACTATCACAGACTGAAAAGGACTAAGGAAACATGACAACTATTACAATGTTGGATCCTGGATTGGACCCTGTAACCAAAAAAAAGGATATTAGTGGAAAAATGGTGAAATGTGAATAAAGTCTACAGTCTGGCTAATTTTTTAAAAAAAGAAAAACTGGCTCTTCTTTAATGTCAGTAAAAAAAAAAGACCAAAAGCAGAATCACAATGACTCCCTAGTCACTGCAAGTACAGGTATAATTGCTTCAAAGCTCCAAACCCATCCAAGAGTACTAAAAGCATCCCTCACCACTGGGTAAACGCAGAGTGGAGCCAAAGCCCCTCAATTTAAATTTGTACATCTCGGGCCGGCCCGGTGGCGCACTGCTACAGTGTGCCGCTTGGGAGCGCGGCGGCGCTCCTGCTGAGGGTTCGGATCCCACATCCAGACCGGTTCCTGCTCACTGGCTGAGCGAGGTGCGGGTGCAACTCCGAGGGTTGCGATCCCGTTGCCGGTCCCAGTCCGGTACGGGCGCAACACTGAGGGTTGCGATCCGTTGCCGGACATGAAAAAAGACAAAAAGGAAAAAAAATAAAAAATAAATAAATAAATAAATACATAAATAAAGTTGTATATCTCATCCTTAAATTGTACAGCAATGAACAATGTATTACTCCAAATCAAATATGCACATGTGGGTGCACACATACGCGCGCGCGCGCGCGCACACACACACACACACACAGAAAATTTTGGTACACTATTAACAACCATTCACATTACCTAAAAAAATCTTGGAATTCCTCCTTTTTGGTAAAGCTCCACCAGACGCCCCTCTTACCTTCTGAAAAGAAAACAAGAGATCATCATTAACATGTAGCCTATAAAACAAACAATTTTGTGAAGGTAAGTACATCTCAAATGTTCCCAGTTTTTATTAAAGACCAAGAGGAAATGTTCAACCTGAACTAATGATTCCAAGATAAACAAGAACTTGACCCAGGTCAATGCAGATAGGTGAAGGCAATGCAATTGTCTCACCTGATTATTTTCACCTAGTTATTAAAAAAGCACGTCTGGAAAGGAAAGTAGAAACCGGGGATCAAGGTGAAGTTGATGCTTAAACTTCCAATCAGCACATGCTCCCAAGAGGGCTGGAGTCCACACCTGATGATGTGAGACTCTGGAAAGATGAGGTGGCTCCAGAGGTGAAGATCTCATTCCCTGCTTACCCAGTGGGTTCCTAGCACTTGGTCCTGGGCATGCTCAATAAATATTGTTCGAAGATTCAGCAAATACTGATACATAGTCGCTGATATTCTGGTCATATGAAACTTCAATCTAACTTCCCTAAACATATATGTTGGAACACCAACAGATGGCTGTGTTCACCCTCCTAAGCTTCATGTGTTTTCTACCTATGGTGGAAGTCCTCAGCAGAAATGAAATAAACACCCATCAGGTGGTTATACAAAAGAGGTCACTCATCTGACACTCACACAAAAAATTTTTGCTCTCAAATAGGACTGTAATAATTTTTGTTTAAAATGGCCAAAACCATATTTCCACACTGCATGTATTTTCAGTAACTGGAAAAGAGCACATTTCCAACAGACCATGGGGTGGGGGTCTAACCCCAGCATCTTTCCAAGCAGCCACGTGTCTGGTGGCATCAAGGCCTTGCTCCACATTTGCTCCTTCTTTAGCTTGTCCTCTCATCAGTCATAAGTCTCTTTTCCCACATTGTATTATTTGACATTGAAAGCCAACTCATCTTTGTGATTCTCATTAAGTTTTTACAGCTTCTACTATACATTTACAGTTCCCATCTTAGGAATCTGAAAATTATAGAACACTTTAGCTCAAAAGCCTGTCTCTCCAAATACTGATGCCAAATGCATGTCTCCTCTTATAGAATTCCTCTCCTCCGTGATCCCAGAGCAACTGGAATTAGATCTACTTCCTTTCAGATTAAAAAAAAAAAAGTAGAACTTCCTTCTAAAGACCATCACCTCTGCTCCTGTATCGGTCAACACTAGAAATCACCAGGGTTTGAGAAACTTAAACTCCTCGGTCAGCAAGTATAACTTTGCCCGTGTGTCAGGTTCTATGCTGGAGCTCAGGATGCAAACTGAACAAAGGTACAATCCATCTGTTCAGGAGCTTGCTAGTGTGGTAGGGGAACATATATGTAAACAAACACAAAACAGACTGATGAGTGTTAAGAGAGGTTCGAAAAAAGGTACAATCATATCGTAAGGAGAAAACGATGAGTTCACCTGTGGGTAGGGATGTGGGCAGGGCTGGTCAGATGAGAAGAGAAGCAGTTTGGGCATATAGCAGCTACTCAGTAAATATTTGCTTGATGGATGGATAGATGGATGGAGAATGAGTAGATGGGTGAATGGATGGGGGGGTGTAAGAACAGATAGATGGATGCCTGCATGGGGGTTGTGGATGAACAGGTGGACAGAAGGGCAGATGGATGGACAGACAAATGGATGAATGGATGGATGGATGAGTTGACAGATGGATGAGTTAGTGGATGGGTGGATGAACAGATGGATGGATGGATGGATGGACAGATGGATGGGTGAGGAAATGAGAGGATGGATATCCTGACCACAGAGAGTACAACAGATAAAAGAAGAGTGGGGGTAGAAGTAAGCCATCCCAGACAGAAAAAACAGCATGCACGATGGCATGAAATTACAGTGTGTTCTAGAAAGTAGAAGAGGTTTGCTATGTCTGTAGCACAAAGTTGGTGGAGTAAGAGTGAGGGTTAGAAAGACTGCAGGGGCAGATCATGAGTACCTTCATCCTGCAGCACGGGGAGAGACATCAGAGATCTAAGCTTCAGTGGGCCACAGATGCACAGGTGTATACATTTGGAAAGATCTCTCTGTGAGCAGTGGGCAGAATGGATGGAATTGAAGGCAGCGAGTCTGAAGGAAGGGAGATTAGTCAGAAAGCTATAGTACTAGTGCTTTAAAAGATAATAAGCACTCAGACAAGAACAGCAGGGACCTGGGGGCTATTTGGGAAGCCTGGGTAACAACACTTGGTCACCAACAAGACACTAAAGGAAAGCAGAACCCAAAGGATGTCTAGGTATCTGGAATTCAAGAGGAAGGACAATTTAGAGAAAGAGGATAATTTGTTCAGTCTGGGCACACTGAACATGAACTACCTATGGGAAGCCGGAGTAGAAAAATCCAGGGCAGAGTCGGATGGTCAGATCTTGGAGAGATATTAATCGGAAATCATCAGCTTAGAGACAGAGGTTAAACAAGGATATGGATGACACTGATGAGAAAGAGCATCTTTCAGAAAAAGAAAATGGGATGATCAAATGGCATCCTAGGAAATTCCAGTAACTAAGGGGTAAACAAAGGAAGAGATGCTAGTTAAAGAAACTGAAGAAGGGCAGAAGGAATGCCAGGAAAGAACGGTGCCAAAGAAAGCAGGGGAGGAATAGTTCCAGAGGAAAACAAGTGCAAATACTCAAACACTCAAATACTCAAAAAGTCAAGTTACATCAGGTCTAAAACGAATTCTCCAAGTGTGGCAACTAAGAAACAACCTGGACAGTTTTAGTAGATCAACAAGATCGATCAGATGGCAGTGCTGAGCCTTAACAGGAGATGTAGTAGCGAAGATGAGACTAGAAAAGTTTTCTAAGAAGCTTTAATTGAAGGATGAGATGACAAAAGGAGGACACAAGTTAGAGGGATGGTTTTACGGCATGTTCTATATTATGGTGGGAGAAGATAAGCCAGAAGAGGGAGAAGTTGGAGTTATAAGAGGGGGTGAAGTGAATGAAGGAGCAAGTTTCCCGATGAAGGAAGAAACAGGACCCTGAGGACAGACAGAACATGGGAGGAACATGGGAAACATGGGACTGACATGGGAGGAAAACAGAAATGGAACCACTTGCAGATGAGCTTCCAGGATGCAAGAAAAACGTTCAGTGAGTTCCAGTCCAGGGTCCCTGTTTCTCTGTAAAGTACAAGTCAAAATAGTTTTCTAAGAACAGCGCAGGAAGTACCGGTAATGAGGAAAGCATCCAAAGTTCAGAGTGGCCACTCAGGGGTGTGGGAGGGGACACAGACCAGAAGGTTTGCTGGGCAGTGAGAGGGCCAGCGTAGGTGGAAGTCCAGGAATTTGACATGGTCCCAACCCCCCAGTAGTGTGGGGTTCCCAGCGGTCTAAATGGAAACAGAGGGTGATATCAATGGATCATCTGGTTGGAGTTCTGGATGATAGTTAAGGAGGCAAAATAAAAAAATAAGGGTCATTTGAAGGAATTGTTGATGACAGAATGTTTAAAGTAATGGATGGTGAGCAGGCTAAACAAGTCGCAGGCCTTGGAGGTCTCAAGGAGATAGAATAACAGATTGAAGTAGGAATAAATGAGTGAAAGAGCTAAAATAAGTGGAGGTTGTGGTCAAAGACTGAAATATTTACATTAAAATTTCAGAGGAAGAACTAACCGTACAAGATTACCAGCATTCTAAAATTCTGCCACTAACTTTGTGACCCTGAGCAAGTCATTTTAAGTCTCTGAGCCTCAGTTTCTTTTTCTTTCCCCAAAATTTCATCACTTTAAGACATGTGGGACAAGGCAGACTTCATAAGAATTACTATGTACCAACTAATAGGAGTAGTGAATGTAAATCATATAATATCAGGCCAAAATTAAATTATTTTAAAGCTAATCATGGAGTTTATGGCTTATCTGACCTCCTGGCCTTTCTTCTTCCTCTTCTAGCTACTCTCCCCACTGTCCAATTTTGGGATCACTTCTTTGTTAGGAACTTAAACAGAGAACATATCAGGTAGAATGGAGTGAGAAATAAGACAAAAATCAAATCATCATTGACTATTAAGAAGATCCAATGTAGTCCACAAACTATTAGGACTACAGTGAAAGTTGAACCGTGTTGCTACATATAAAATTAACATTTGAAAATCAATAACGGGCCGGCCCCATGGCTCACTCAGGAGAGTGCGGTGCTGGTAGCGCCAAGGCTGCGGGTTTGGATCCTATATAGGGATGGCCGGTGTGCTCACTGGCTGAGTGTGGTACAGACAACACCAAGCCAAGGGTTGTGATCACCTTACCGGTCAGAAAAAAATAAAATAAAATAAAGAAAATCAATAACATTTCCTAACACCATCAATAACCAATTAAATACATAAAAAATAAAAGACAGCAGAAACATTAGTAACAAAAATTACAGGGCACTAAAAAAAAAAATCTAACAAAATATGTTTCTTTACAGAAAATTACAAAATATTATTGAATGACATAAAAGAGACCTGAATAAAATAAAATGGTATGCCATGTTGAACCATCATTCAATGAATATTTACACAGTACATACTATACACTAGGCACTAAGTGCTGAAGACACAACAGTGAACAAAACAGACAAAAGACCCTGCCATCATGGAGCTTACACCACGATGTGGGTTATAGATTAATCTATAAATTCAATGCGATTGTGACCAAAATCACAACAGGATTTTTTTAACTAGATGAACTGATTCCACAATCCATACAGAAAAATAAGCACCTGAAAATACCCAAGAAAGTTTTGGAAAAAAATTAACGTGGAAAAAGTGTTTACACTACCAGATCTCAAGGCTTGACACACCAGTGCAGAGACAGACAAATAAAATAAACAGAACACAAGTGAGAGCCCCAAAACAGACCCAAGTGTGAGTGGGAAGTTAAAATATGAAAAGATTGGCACTATATATTACCGGGAAAGGTTGTACTATCAGTAGGGGGCAATTGGTTATAAATATGGAAATAACACATTCCCTTACTTCACACAAATAAAAAATAAATTATAGGTGAATTACAGACATAAGATGTTAAAACACATTCAAATACACATACATACACACTTAATTTAAAAAAAAAAACTCCTAGAAGAAATATCTTTATTACATTGAGTTTAAAACAATTTCTTAGATGAGATACAAAAAGCACAACTCATAAGAGACAAAGTTTAATAAATTTAACTACATCAAAATTTAAAACTTCTATTGCACAAAATAATTTATAAACAAAGTAAAAAGACAAGCTGCAGACTATAAGAAAATTTGTATACAATAGATAAAGGATTAGTATCTAAAATGTAAAAAGACTCATCAAATTTATATGAAAAAGATAAACACAGAGAGAAACAGGCCAGAAATATAAATAGGCAAATCAGAGAAGAGAAAACCAGAATGATCAATAAATATGTAAAAAGATGTTCAGCCCTCACAAAAGGAAATGCCAAATATTTAGATGCCACTTTATAACCATTGGCAGAAATCAAAAGTCTGACCAAGGTTTCGGAAACAGGAATTCATAATCACTGAAGATAGGAGTATAAACTGGTACAATCACTCTTGAGAAGGATTTGGCAATATCTAGTAAAAAAGGAAGATATGTGCATCCATGAGCCAGCAATACCACTTCTAGATATATTTCCTAAGGAAATCTTGCACATGTACACCCAGGAGAAACGTATAAAATGTTAAATTCTTGCATCACTTGTAGTAGGCCAAAAAACAGAAACACTAAGCATTCATCAAGACAAGAACAGAATAAATTATAAAGTACTCATAAGATGAATACCAAACAACTATTAAAATGAATTAAGTACATACAGATACATCTCAACATGGATAGATTCCAAAAACAATGTTGAGGGCAGAAAAACTTTATACAGAATTATAGATAGGACCAGCTGATTAGTTCACTTGGTTAGAGCATGGTTCTGATAACACCAAGGTCAAGGGTTCAGATCCATGTACCAGCCAGCCACACACAAAAAAAAAAGGTAAAAAAAAAAAAAAAGTTATACATAACAGTATGATAGCATTTATATAAATCTTTAAAACATATAAATTTAAACTATATATTGTTCATGAATATGCATAAACAAAGTATAATGATACGCATGAGAATGAGGAAAAAAAATGCACAGCAGTGGTTACTTCTGGGGAGGGAAGGGAACAAAAATGAACTTTCACCAAAGCTTTATTTCTTTCGCCCCCCCCAAAAAAAAAAATCCATGCAAAACATCCAAATGTCTCTTGCTTTTCATTTTTGGTTCCACGAGTGCCTCTGGAATTATGTTCTGTATTTTTCTGTAGTTTTAAACTTAAATTATATTTTTCCAATCAGTCAACCCATGCCTTCTTAACAACTTCAAATAGAAATATAGAGGAAGGAAAATAAAACTAGTTAAGATAAGGTTTGGGGAAATCTATGAATTTCTGCAAAGAATGCTGTTGTTTCCCGTCATCAGATAAAATCAGAGTTATGTGGGCACAGTAAAATATCCATGTAGTAAAGCACACTAACACAATGTTACAGGAAAGATACTGAGGCCAGCTCTCCAAAAGAGTGATTCTCACCTCTCGCACGTGTCTTTTCAGGTGCATGTATACACTCTGTCCAGTTTTCCGAAAATGTCTTTCAACGTGTTCCCTTCCAAAAGCCAGAAATGTATTCATGCATACATAGAGTCCACCTTCAGAATTCTAGAAGGAAGAGACAAGTTACAACATTAGCCATGGATGCCCAGCCAGGTGGTCTAAATACAGAAAAAGGGAAGGGGAAGGAAGACAAGCAATGAAGACAAAGCCTGGCAAAAGGCCGTGGCAGCTCTCGTAGCCATCTGCAATGACCCTCCAATGGCTCCACAGCCACCCACAGCAGCAGCTCCCACCCTAACCCTGGGCTCCAGCTGCTCCTGAACAGCTGAGCACTGCACTCTGTTTACCAACCCTAGCTACATTCGCGGTCAGGGGAGATCCTCAGAGGCCCTGGGAGATAAACATGCTTGTCTGACTTTCCAAATGGGGCAAGGAAAGACAAGGGATGGAAGAGTGTTGGTAAGAGATCCACTGCTATCATCACTGTAATACTTTATTATTGCTCTTCCTCACTCATCGGTGCAAGTATCCAGGAAGATAAAGTTTTAGGTCCTTTTAGCAGAACATGGTTCTTCAAAGATATTGTTTCTTTCTTTTGGTGGCACATAATATTTTATTGTATTCATGAATAAATTATAACAATTTAATAAATAAATAATAACTTAAGTAAATAGTAAAGAATGGAGTCCTTTAATAATCATAGCTGCATTTTATCACATACCTAATATGTGCCAGGTGCTTTACGTATATTATTTCAAATACTGACCACTGCAGCTGCTTATTATTATTTCCATTTTACAGTTTTAAAAAACTAAAGATAACTCACTTGCCCAAGTTCACACAGCTTGGAAGTGTCAGAGTTAAATGTGAATCCATTTCTCTTTTTATCCCTCTATACCACATTTCATAGCACAGAATATTACTTAATAAAGACATAATACTATATATCAAGGATATTGTTCACATTTTAGATACCTGACTTTTTATCTCAATTTTATCTCCTTTTCTCTGATTTTGCTTAACATGCTTCTCTATAAACTTAGCCTATAAAATTAACCTTTCTTGGGCCGGCCCGGTGGCGCACTGCTACAGTGCACCACTTGGGAGTGCGGCGGCGCTCCCACCGAGGGTTCGGATCCCACATACAGACCGGCCGCTCACTGGCTGAGCGAGGTGCGGGCCCAACACCGAGGGTTGCGATCCTGTTGCCGGTCCCGGTCCGGTACGGGCGCGACACTGAGGGTTGTGATCCGTTGCCAGTCACGAAAAAAGACAAAAAAAGGAAAAAAAAAAAATTAACCTTTCTTTCCTCAGTGGAATTGGATTTTTATTAAGTCCCTATTACTCTCAACAATCCAAATAATAAAAAACAAAATGATTAAAATACCAGTCAAAATTGCCAACAAACACTTATCAAAATCCCTGAAGAGTGCAACACCTGGGTTCCTAGGCAGGAGTCAAGGGCAGCACCACCTGCCCAGAAGCAGGCAAGAGAGCATGCTGAAAACACCATTTCCACATGGGTGGCTGACCACCACTACCACAGTCGTGGCTGCCGTAAAAGTGGCTCAACACCACAGCAGTAGCCACAGACACCATGCAGGTGACCTGCCAGACACTTGACTGCACTGACACAAAGAGAGTCACCAGCAGAGACTGGAAAAAGAAGACATTTCTCTCCTCAAAGCCTACCCCAGAGTAAGAGAAGAAGCAACTGCTCTCCCAGACATCCATACATCAACATAGATACTACAAATATGAAAATCCAAGAAAATATCAAGCCACCAAAAATACACAGTAATTTCAAATACCAAAACCTATAGAGCAGGAAACCCTTGAAATGACTGAAAAGGAATCCTGAGCAACAATCTTAAGGAAATTCACTGAGATAGGCGAAGACTCAGTTAAACAACATAATGAAATGAGGAAAAAAAAAATCCAGGTTTTGAAAGAGGAAATTTACAAAGAGATTAATAACTTAAAAAAGAATGTAGTAGAACTCATGGAACCAAAAGTTTCACTCAATGAAATTAAAAAAAAAAAAAAAACACAACCAATAGCTTAAGCATCAGGCTAGAACAAGCAGAAAAAAGAACTTCTCATCTGGAAGATAGTCTTTATGAAATAACCCAGGTGGGTGAAAAAAAAAAGGAAAAAAGAATTTTAAAAATGAAAAAAATATAAGAGAGCTAGCAGACAACCTAAACACACAAATATTCAAATCATGGGTGTTCCAGGAGGGGAGGAGAAAGGAAAAAGGCATGGAAAACCTATTCAATGAAATAATAATGAATGAGGTATGGAGCTGGGGATCAGACCCCCTCCCACAATCAGGCACACTGCCATTGCCACCACCAACTAGGTAAGGAGCATGCCAAAAATACCACCTCTATGTGGGTGGCCCACCACAGCCACCACCATAACCATGACTGCCACGAAAGCAGCTAGATGCCACAACCACCATGCAGATGGTCTGCCAGCCACTGGAGTGCACTGACACAAGGAGAGTCACCAGTAGAGACCAAAAAAAAAAAAAAAAGAGGAGGATGTCTATCTCCACAAAGCTCATTCCAGAGTGACAGAAGAAGCATCTGCTCTATGATAATATTGGGGGACCTGAACACACCTCTCAGCATTGGACAGATCATCTAGGCAACAAATCAACAGAGTAACCATTACTCTTTCAGAAAGGGAAGAAATCTAGGGTAATTAGAGGAGAGATGGGTTAGAGAGAGAGGGATGGGAGAGATTGGACAAGGGGCATAAAGAATAAGTATGATTCATAACAATATATATGCTAGTAATATTGATTTGATCAACATATGTCAACACTGAATCCCAAAAATATGTATAATCAATTATGATTGAATAAAAATTAAAACAAATAAATAAATAAAAAGAAATAATAATGAAAAACTTTCCCAGTGTAGGGAGAGACACCAACCTTCAGATCCAGGAGGCTCAAAGATCCCCAGGGTCAACCCAAAATATCCTCTCCAAGACACATTATAGTCAAACTGGCAAAGCTCAAAGACAAAGAGAGAATCTTAAAAGAAGCAAGATAAAAGCATCAAATCACCAATAAGGGAGCCCCAGTCAGACTAACAGCAGACTTTTCAACAGGCCAGAAGAAAATGACTCAGGCTAGAAGAAAATGGGATGAAATATTCAAAATACTAAAAGAAAAAACTACTGGCCAATAATACTATACTCAGCAAGGCTATCCTTCAGAGATGAGGGAAAAATAAAATACACTACTACCCAGAAAGACAAAAACTGGGAGTTCACCAGAACCTGACTGGCCCTACAAGAAACCCTCAAGGAAGTTCTGCATCTGGAATCTGAAAAATGATAATCACTACTGCGAATACACAAGAAAGAACAAAACCCAATGGTAGAACAAAAATGCAAACGAGAAAGAGAAACTAAATCTTACCACCACACAAAAAAAAAAAACCATAATGACAATGTAATAATACCCCTGCTTTATTCCTGATTTTAGTAATTTTGGTCTTCTCTCTTTTTTTCTTGGTCAGTCTAGATAAAGGTTTGCGAATTTTGTTGATCTTTCTAAAGAATCAACTTATGGTTTTGTTGATTTTCTCTATTATTTTTTAATTCCCTATTTCATATATTTCTGTTGTCATCTTTGTTATTTCCTACTTATTTTTGCTTTTCGTTTAGTTTGCTCTTCTTTTTCTATTCTTTTAAGGTAGAAATTCACATTACTCATTTAAGATTGTTCTTATTTTTAATATAGGTGTTTACAAGTATAAATTTTCCTCTAAGCACTGAATAAGTCCTGCATCCTATAAATTTTGATATGTTGTACTTTGATATTTAATCTCAAAATACTCTCTAATTTCCCTGTGTTGTGGTGTGTGGTGGTTAGAGAACATATCTTCTGTGATCTTAGTCTTTTTAAATGTATTAAGACTTGTTTTGTGGCAAAAAAAAAAAGACTGAATGTTAAAGCTGCAAATGTCATAGAGTTATTCTATGTACTGTATATTTTTCTTTGGCACTCAATAATTTTATTTTAGGGTCACCCTGTGGCTCACTTGGGAGAGTGTGGTGCTGATAACACCAAGGCCACAGGTTCGGATACCTGTATAGGGATGGCTGGTTAGCTCACTTGGGAGAGCGTGGTGCTGACAACACCAAGTCAAGGGTTAAGATCCTTTTACCGGTCATTTCTTAAAAAAAAAAATTTTTTTTTATTTTAAGTCTGGAAAGAAGAAAAAGAAAAAAGAAAAAATATCCCTTACAATACATTTCAGTAGAGCACAATTTAAAATATCAAAACAAACACTGATGCTTATTACAAATTACACAAAACATAATTGTTTAAAGTTCCAATAACTCAAGATTGTTAATTAAAAAAGAATTTCCAATAACAAAATTCTCTAACACTGCCTCTATGTTTTATAAATCAGGATATAAAGGAGTCCTGTCACAAGGAGAACATTATAACAACACAGTTCAAATATGTGCCTCTTACTGTAGCATATGCATTGCAATAAGACAAGAAAAAGAAACAAAAGACATAAAGATCACAAAGAAAGAAGTAAAATAGGTCTCTATTTGCTGATGACATTACAGCCCATATAGAAAATCCTCTTTTTTTTTTTTTTTGTCTTTTTTCCGTGTCCGGCAACGGATCGCAACCCTCAGTGTTGCCCCCGTACCGGACCGGGGACCGGCAACGGGATCGCAACCCTCGGTGTTGCTCCCGCGCCTCGCTCAGCCAGTGAGCGGGAACCGGTCTGTATGTGGGATCCGAACCCTCAGGCGGGAGCGCCACCGCGCTTCCCAAGCGGCGCACTATCCAGTGCGCCACCAGGCCGGCCCCGAAAATCCTCTTTTTTATATACACATAAAAGTAAGTTTACATTTCCAGAGATGATCATAGAGTATCAAGAATTTGGTTAGCTCAGTTGGTTAGAGCATGGCGCTGATAACACCAAGGTCAAGGATTCGATCCCTATACCAGCCAGCCCACTCAAAAAAAGAACTTGAGTTCAAGGGCTAGCCTCCCTAAGCTAGGCAAATCATATTTGCAAGCCTCCAGAGATCTAGTCATGCACTGTTGCTAATGAGAACTT